TCCAGCCAATTATCCCCTCAACCAATAGATGATTATTTTCTTATTTATCATCCTTTTAACCTGTACGTTGACATCAGCACCATTGTTGACTAGGAGCTCAAGACACAACACCCCGCTGGAGGAGGCAGCTGCCAGATGTAATGGTGTGTTGCCGTTGTAGTTGGGTTGGTTGATGCTGGCGCCACTGTTCACCAGTTCAGTGGCCACAGTGTCTTGCCCAGTGTGACAGGCCATGTGGAGCGCTGTGTTCCCAAAAATGTTGGGCTCATCAATCTGGAAGCAGATATCAAAATATATAGACAAATACATAAACCAATGGAGTATAAAACAGTTTGCTGTAAATAACAAGAGCCATATGCCCAAGAAATACTGCAGATTATATCAGTGGGCAGCTAACGTAGATCATTATATGTGAGGTTTTAAAAAAGAAATAAAAAATGTAAAGAAGTATTTGCCCCCTTCCAGATTTCATATTTCAGATCATCAAAAAATGTAATATTAGACAGATAACCTGAGTAAATACAAACTGCAGTCTTTAAATTATGATTTCATTTATTAAGCGGAAAGGTATCCAAATCTAAATCCCTGTGTGAAAAACACTATTATAGCCATTTATAAATGGCTAAAAATGGAAATGTTAACTCTTTCCAGACTTGTCATCAGTTGTTGAGTTTCTTTAGCTCGCTGCATGATGCCTTTCTTTTTGAGATCTTTTAGCCTGTTTCACTTTGTCAGACAGGTTCCATTTAAGTGACTTGATTCAGTGGGTCTGGCACTAATTAGGTCTGGGTGCAGTAATGAACTTGAACTCAGCTTTCCAAAAAAACATGATTATTCAGTTATTTCATAGTGCAACAAGGGCGGGCATTAACTTTTTCAAACAGGGCCAGGTAGGTTTGAATAGTTTTTTGTTTCTTCATAAATGAAATCATTATTTAAAAACTACATTTTGTATTTACCTTGGTTATTTCGGTTTAATTCTGTCTAATTAAAAAATTTGATGATCTGAAACATGTAAGCGTGACATATGTGCAAAGAAAAAAAAGGAAATCAGGAAGGGGGCAAGTACTGAATTTATGCATCTATTTTGGATTCACTCACAATGCAGCAGCATAAGTGTTGGTACAGCCTGGAAAACAACATAAAGCCAATCCTGGAGTTCCACACAAGACAAGTTATTTATGCCTCACCTTTTATCAAACCATTTATTACCACTGACTGTCTGGTTTGGGGTTTAAAATTGAGCAGAAAGTGTCTCAATATCTTAATTCTGAAAAAGAAACTCAGCAGAAAGCTTAAGCATATTTCAAACTTTTTGTCCTGCACATAATAAACCAAACATTAAAAAAATACCAACTATATCCTCCTGAGATCCAGCTTATTCTTTTATTCCTAAGTAATGGAAATTTGTTTTGATTATCTTTTGATTTATTTAAGCTAACCTACTAAGTCCTGATGTGCTGAACAGAGGACATCCTGGGCTTTTCATTGACATCTCATGGCCTCTTTTAGCGCCAAAGAGGCAGCAAATCACAACAAAAAGTTAAACTGAAAGATACTTTTTTTGTCTTCGGTTCTTCGGAGGATATATTGTGAGAAAAGCAATGTATCCCAACCACAGTAGACTTTACCTCCACCCCCAGTCTCAGCAGATATTTGACTACGTCTAAATGTCCGCCGGCAGCTGCAACGTGGAGTGGAGTGTAACCACGCTTGTCTTTGCACATCACGTCTCCACTGTGAGACAACAGCAGCTTCACAACCTCCAAATGTCCTTAGAAAAAAAAAGAAAAAAAAACAAGAGCGAGAGATTCATATTTACTACAAATATTTGTGACGCTAGTACATCTCAACACTTGCTAGTTACACAGCTGGATTAAACGGCACACAGTCTGGCAAACAGCTGGTCTCATTTGAATACACTGGTTATGTGTTTGGTAGCATTTGAATGCATGTGTGTTATCTTGTCTATAAACAAGAAAAGTTTTGAATGAATTCTGATAAAACTTCAAGGTCAACTGAATAATTTACTGGTCGAAAGTTGACAGAAAGACTTGTAACTTAGAAACTATGATTGTTACAAGTGTGGTGTGTATTGTCAACATATAGAAACTACTGTATAAAGATTTAAAATATCTCACATTTAAACATCTTACCTCTCCTTTCTGTTAAAGGACTCTTGCACACTTACAATTATGTTTTCAGCCAAGCACAAAACATACACTGGTGATGACAACAGAAAGTGTTATTTTATCCCAAAAGCATCCCACTGTTAAGGTCAAGGCCAATCCCTTCCAGTTTGTACATACTGTTAGTTACTAGAAGACTTCTGTTATTCTTTAAAACTCATAAAAGAAAATTTAATTCAAGATACATTTGTGTCTGTTAGGAGCGTCTCTACTCACCGAGGGATGCAGCCCAGTGGACTGCTTGCCTTTCCTTCTTGTCCTTGGCACATGCATTTGCACCTTTACGCAGGAACACGTTCACCATCTGTTAAAGGCACAATATCAGGATGTAGCCACTTCATCTATGTAAACTCATCTATGCTGATGAATACAACCTAACAGGTAATTTTTTTTAAACGTGCTGCAACAATTACCCAAACCCCAGAAACGTATCATTCACTTTCCTAATGGAAATCAATGTAAAATGTTATATATAATAATATAAAATATCATAAATGTTACCTATTAAAAAACACCAAATAAAAAGATAGCTTTTAATAGTTTTAAAATAGTTAAACGTCAGTAAGAAGACTCTTCAGCTTACCTCCCCATGACCACTGTGCGCTGCATGATGTAGCGGTGTCCTTCCTGACTTGTCAGTTACATCCAGGCTGCAAACATGTGGTATCAGGGCTTTGGCACAACCTGTAGCCCAGTTTGCAGCTGCCATGTGCAGGGGTGTATGCCAGAACTTGTCCCGTGCATTAACCTCTACTTTGTGTTTCAGCAATAGCTCCACAGCCCTCTGACAGGAAAAACAAAATAAAAGGATAAGTCTAACATTAAGAGCTAACTGTCACTGACTTTTTAAAATCCATTTGACAATAGTAATTTACTTCATTTCTTGAGGCAGCTGCTCGGTGTAAAGGAGTCAGCAACCCCTGGTCCTTGGCGTTGACATTTGCACCTGTAAGAGAGCACAAAAAAGCAAAACTATGCTTTATTGCTTGTGCAGTTTTGAGCTATTACAGTTCTTTTGCATACGACTAATTTATATCAGTCATTACAACAAATATTTTGTTCTTACAACCACACAATTCTTTTTGTCTTTTACCTGAACTAATAAGTAGGTCCATAACAATGACATCGCCCATATAAGCAGCAGCATGTAGTGGTGTGCTTTGTTCTTGGTCCTGAGATTTAAAAAAATATATAAAATTATAGTCTAAATACAAATTTAATGTGCAATCGCAAGTAGCCTTCAGCATGTTGTAATTTGTAACACAACTCCTGAATTAAAACTGAGTAACACTACCAGTGAGTTGACATCTTCTTTGTGGTTCAGTAAAAATGTCACATCTTCTGTGTTCCGGCTGAATATGGCCTGGACCAATGGGGACTGAAAGAAAAATTAGTACAGGTAAATCAAACAACTTTTTTGTAGACATACATATAGGACCAATTCAACATGAAAATCAAAAACTACAGGGACATAAATATATACATGCACAACCTCTTTCATCAAAGCTATATTTTTAACGCTAAAATATAAGTAATGTGGTTACCCACAAAGTTTCAAATTTACTTTTTTACAAAAAAGCTGAAAAAAATTGTAAAGCACATCATTAGTTTTTGATTAAGATACCTGTGTTTTCTTGTTTTTATGACAGTTGGTGTAATAAATTTGTTATGCACTGTACAGGAAACATTACAATGACTCAGTTGACTTTCATAAAAAGTCTAATTAGACTTATGAAGCCTGCTTCAAAGACAACCGAAGAAAAAACAACAAGCATTTTAATTTGTCACTTATGTCACTAAAGAAAAACAAACTGAACTGTCTCAAGCACGTCCACCCACACATCCATTTTCTTACTACTGGGAATATTCAGAATGCAGTGGCACATAATTAAGTGTGGACTAATCAAATCTAACCACTGTACAAACGAAAAATATATGTGATGTGTATATTTACAATAATTTTTGTGGGTTTTCAACTGTATTTACAGGAATACCAATGGTCATAATGATACGGTTTCTAAGTACATTGCTAAATTAATGCATTAGACATCTAACTCTACAGAAACTCCAGCTTAAACTACATGTATCTTTACGGGGTGAGGAGTCTGTGACATTAGCCATCCTTGCAGAAAACTTTGCTCGTCACGCCGCTAACATGACTAGCCAGCTGATTGCAGTTGTGAGAACCGGCAAGTTATTTAATGTTAAGTTCAGAAAAAGCTGTATTTACTACCTGGTCCTTGATATTTCTTAACTCCATATCCCAACCACCCGTGAAGCCCCTTCACTGATACTTGGGGTGAACTTGACTACATTGCAATCAATAAGTAGCAGCTAATTTAGCTTTAGCTTAGATAGCAGCTGGGATTGTATACAGCAAAGCTCCCAGAACATCGCGAGAAAAGTTAAAGAAACGTGATTTAAGTGTTTTTTTTCCTTTGGCTGTCTTTGACGTAATGTTAATAGTAGTAATGTTAGTAATGTAAATTTTGGTCAGATATTTGTTCTCGTATTTTTTTATAAACATAAAAAATACGATGTATTTATGTAATTTTAGTTTAAGCTAAATATGCAATATGCTATTAGCTTGTTTCTAAAATCTCTTGGGAAAATCCTGGGGAAATATTTTGCCTTTAATGCAACTACATTTATTTTACTCATTAGACAGTCCCTATTTATTTATTTTTTTACTACAGATAATCATTTTACTTACTGATAACTTTTTAAACCTGCCAGGTTTCGCTCAGGGCAAAAAAAAAGAGTAAAAGCTAGATGACGTCACTACTTACAACATTTGCGCACATGCGCAGTGTGACTATAGCTGCTGTTAACATGGGAAGATATTTTGCCGGATTTTAGCTTGGTAACGTGCTCAGCTACTCTCAAGATCTAAACACATGGAACAACTTTACAACCAGCCTTAATTTTCACGGTCAAAACGCTGATTTTTTTTTGACCCGCACAGCACACGTAGGTACGTTTCGTTTTTGTACTTGGTGGAAGTAACATTGGCCTAGCCATGCAGCTAATATATCATGGAAACTTGTTAGCTTGGTGGCTCATAACAGTAGTACAGTACTGTAGATTTATATGTTAGCGGATTTGTCGGGAGGATAGATGCCTGAACTTGTTCTGGAGTTCTGGGTAGTGTTAGGCAGTCATGTTTCTCTCTTTTTTTAATAGCTTCCAGGTTCACCTTGATGCAACATAGTTTATATTTAGTGTGGCTCACTGGCATGAGTGGGTGGACAGTACTATGGTGATATAAATTTTGTAGCTAGGAAAAAGCAAACAAAAATAAAATGGCAAATAGTGAGTAAAATAAAATAATTGAACTGATGAGAAATATTAGTAGATAAGGAGAGGGAGACTGACTGACTGACTGACTGAATGAATGAATGGCTCATTACTGCACTTGAAGGTGAAAACAAGGTGTTAACAGGATAATTGCCAATCAATATCCGTAAAATCAAGTGAAAGCAGCATCCCTAATTAATATAGTCACTGGGTGACAGTTAGCGGAGTTACCCCGTTAATAAGGATCATTGTATAACCCCAAAGTGTCTTAAATGAAGAAGGATCATCATCTCTTCTTACGACTTTTAAAATGACAAAAGATGGCATAATAACCTAATAAATGCAGTAAAAACACACACTAAATTACCCCTGTTTTAAAGTTTAAGCTTAGTATCTTAATTTTAGTTGATCTTCAATCTATAGTATGTATAGATGTATAGTATGTAAGTATGTATATATCTATCTACGTAGCACTTTTAATTCTTATTCTTATTTTTATTTTCATGTCTATTTAAGCGTAATTTATGACAGTATGTTTGCACTGAAGCACCGCAGCAATTTCCTAATGTTGTAAACCTGCTCAACATTTGGCACTAAAACCCTTTTTGATTCTGATTTCTGATTCTGATCCAAACTCAAACTGGGCTTTTCTAAAGTAAGGATCACTGGCTCAGTTAATACTGCACGTGAAGTGTGTGCGTTTCCTTGATAGACCGGGTTTTTGCAGTAGTTTATCCTGGTTGAAGAGTTTAGCTCTCATTCGACCAGACAGACCTGTGTGCTGGCATTGGATTTGGATATATATTTGGATTTTATATTTTGGGAACAGTTTTGGTTCTGCTTATTTTTCATATTTTTTTTTAATTGTCATGCGACAGAGAGGTTGGTGTATCATGATCATTCTTTTTTTGTTCTTTTGTTTGTTAGTTTTTTGCTTATTGTGACATATTTATGTAAGATCTTTTTCAACATAGGGCGTAAAAGTCCTTGAGGGCTGTGACATTAGAGACCGGTTTCTGTTTGGGAGTTGTCTTGTATGTAGTGATAGGAAAAGCTGCATCTTGCAGATTAGATTCATTAATGTTCATTGGGCTAAGTTAACAAATGGCTGACTAAGCAATGTGAATTTTTACTACTCCAACAATTTTTTCTTTTTCAAAATTAATTTAGATGAAGAAAGTAAATCCAACTTTACAAGGTGTTCAAATTTTAATGTTTGACAGAACTGATGAAATAAGTTGACGTCTTTGCAAATGTCACACTGGTAACATTAATAAATCATATTTATATTAAATGCAGAATCACGTGATTATGATTGAAATCAACTCACTACTGCTGGAAAGCTGATTTTCTTTCATCACCGTTTAAATGTGTGTGTCAGAGTTGACACACTGAAAGAGTTACACAATCTATGATTCTAATCAAGGTCACGCTGAGACTAGTACAGCACACATCCACACCGGAATGTGAGGCGTAGGGCAGATAGCTTTATTTAGTTTACTTTTTTTGCTGTGTCTGTCCCTTTTTGCAAAGCTACTTCTAGCAGTGAGCGTAATAATAAAGTTGTTGACGTGTAGCAGTCTGGTGTCACACATGACTGTCAATGCGCAAACTGAGATCTTGGCAATAAACAGTGGACCTGAGTGCGTCAGTGCAGAAAAAAATAAGAAAACAAAAAGTATACACACACACACATGTGCGCGTGGAAGTGACAGGACAGTTAACTGAAATTTCTCTTACTGCTGTTTATGTGGAGAAACAGAACCTTTGCTTTAAGACATGATGGCGTGAGATCAATTTTATGTTTAAAAACTTGTGCAATGAGTGATGGGAGAGGGGAGTCACATGGTCATTAAGCTCAGGACAATGCATGAGTGAGAGTGAGGGTGGTCTCTGTTAAGGGACTTGCTGTGCTTTTGTAAGTCCAGAAAGTGATCCCTATGTCAATAGCATGACTTTGATCGTGAATTGTTTATTAGCAATTGCTTGTTCATATTTCATGGTTATGATAACTACACAATAATGCCACTCTGCATAGTTGCAAAGGTATTTGAAACCTTATTTTCAGTTTCTCCAGTTGTGGCTTCTGGCTTTGACCACAGGAGAGCACATGAGGCCGGAGAGGCTGAAAATGAAGAAAGTGTTTTGTGGCCCAGAAATCAGCAACTTAAATCCTGATGGTTAGATCTAGACAATTAAAAGCTTCATTTAAAAAGTTCATTATGTATTTATTTATTTTTTGATTTCTTCATTCATTTTGTGCAGTTTCACAAAGGTGTGAAGAGGTGCAAAAACAAGTTAAAATAAAATATGTAGCAGTCTGTCTCCAGCTGTATGGCATGTCAACAGGAACGAGAAGGATCGTGGGCAGCTTGATGTGGAAATTTGATAATTTTTCCTCCCAGGGATACAATCATAAAAAAAAACTTGCTGCTCTAAATGAACTTTTTAAACAGAAAACAGGTGGAAACTAAAGGCTTGAGGTAAAAATTAGATCATTTTAATAGCTTCAGTAGAAATGTCAAATCACATTGTCCAAATAAATACATTAAAAAATATTTTTGAATTTATTTAGTTTATGCATTCCCTTTTACGTTTTGTTTTGTTTTGTTTCTTAGCTTTCTGCCACATCTTTAAGACTGTTAATTTAAATACTGCTGCTGAGGAAACTTCCAGGGAACATGTCGTCTTATAATGCGCATTAATCAGGTCACATGATCAGGTGAAAGAAGTGGCACTGGAAACTTTGGTGGTTGGAAAAGCTGCCGAATCTTCACCATCTGCTCCTTGTCACATGGTCCTGCTGTGTGTCATGTGCTTTCCGTGGCCCTTTGCTCCCTCTTTGTCAAACATCATGGTGTTATAAAAGTTATTTTGCAAGACTGAGGTTTCACATTTCATTCCTCAGTTTCCGTTACGAGCAGCACAGAGTGTGTGGTAGAAGTGAAACTTGGCTGACAGTGGTCAGCTCAGTGTTTCCTGTTAGACGATCCCATTAATGTAGTGTCCTTTGACTTGCTTTTAATGTTGCTTAGTCATTGTTATGACCTTCAACGTTCAGTGTTTTTCAATTTGTTTTCTTAAAGAGGAACAGAAATTGCTGCACAGTCATGTCTCGTGTTAAATAGTTTGTTCTTCCTTTTGAAAAATGTGTTTTGTTATAAAAATTTTCTTTACTCATGTTTTAATTCTCAGATTATGCAACTGTTGTCTTTTTGCAGGGAGGCTGATATTCATCCCTTATCTTCCCAGGGATCCCTCAGCCTGCCCTGATGAAGCCCAAGCAAGACGGAGACCTCCTGGAAGGTACATGTTTAAGATGACTGAAACATGACCCTTAAAATACAGACCCACTCAACATGTTGTCCAATATTAAACACTTTGGACATTTGGCTGTGGCTGGAGGCATATTCTGAGTCACAGGGAGCTTAATATTCAGATTATAATCAGCAAAAAATCTGAACAAGAATAAATCAGAAGAAGAATTGTAAATGACCCCGATTACTTCCTGGCTGACTACTTTATGCACACCTGTGGTGATATCTTGTCTTCCCAAAAAATAGCTTCCTCCCAGCTGAAATGATTCTCTGTGAAGAGATTTAATAGCAGCACAACAAAACCTGAACAGACTGCAGATATTCATGTTCAGAAATCTGAACCAACAGGTGTCAAAAAACTGACAAGAAAGCAATTTAAGAAGTCAAATGCATTTTTCCGTGTAATCCCCACTCTGTATTATAATTACGCCAATTATGACCGGTAACATGAGCCAGTGAGTACACTGATAGCTGCTGTAACAGTGTTTTCCTTTACGACTTTAAATTATTTATCTTGAAAAGAAAAACATGGTCCATCTTTTTAAAAGGCACACAGTGTGTTTACTGTGATAAACAGTAAAAACTCTGACGCTAATAAAACTTTGTCGCTAACTCAGATTCTTTGAAAAACTGTCTGTGCTTTTTTTCCCCATGTGAAAGGGCGGGTTTTGTAATGTATTGACTTCCTCGAGCATAGTGCGTGCGCCATATTTACTTCTCTCTCTGTGTGGGTCATTTTTAGAAAGGCGGGGTCACAGTGTCCTCGTAACAGCTCATGTCTAAAAAAAAAAATGATGATAAAGGCAACGTCATATAAAAGCTAATACTTAGGCAACTGTGGACTTTAGGACCTTAGTGAGTTGGAGATGGAGGGGGCAAGACATGAAAAGTCCAAACTCAGTGAGTAGCAGTTCTCTGCATTTACATGCACTTTGGACAAACTATTATAGATCTGTTGCTTATTTTAATCTTGGAGTTGTTTTTTAGTTGAATTTCTTTTGTTTTTTGGTGTTTTCATGTAGTTCTTTTCTTTTTTGCTCGAGTTTCTGAGGTTAACATGCAAACAATGTGGAGCTAATTACAGGTTACTGCTCAGCGAGTAAAGGCTTGTAATTTAAAGTCTTAGACCAAAGTGCTTGTGCTGCATGTAGATTAGAAGCAATGAGTTTTGTTTGCCTTTTTCCAGAGGGTGTACTCGTGCTGTTAGAAAGCCCCTGGATCCCAGACAAGTGTTAGATTGTGTGTCTCAAACGTTTTTCCAAGTGCAGTTAGACTGACAGAGTCAATATTTGATTATTTCAAGTATTTTAAGCAAGCTGCAAAACCTGCCAAAAAGACCCTTCCCTTAATTGTCAGAATTTATTGCTTTATGTGTGAATTAGTGAATTTAGCTGAGATTTTTTTCTATCATAGTGATTATGCCACATCCATAAATCAGAGTTTCACAATAACTATACAGAGTTTAAAATGGCGCTTACATCCAGATATAATAATGCGTAAAATATAGGGAGGAGAACATTTAAATCAAGCAAGTGTTCAGAAACAGCGCAACCTTTTCAAATTAACTGCAAAATTAACCACGCCTATGACCGCCATTTGGGGATTGTGCTCACACGCTATTTTGCCCTCTTTAGTAAATCTGGCCCTCACAGTTGTTTTTTTTAACTGCATCTCCATTGCTGCAATGTGTTTGGTCAACAGAAAACACGGGAGGATGTTGACAATGAATGAAAAGACGTGTGTAACGCTACCTAAGGGTACTCTGTGATGACTAATGAGAGTCCCTCTGTTTGTCCTGCTGTGCTTTCATCAGAGGACTCCCCTCAGGAGAATGGAGTCCACACAAACCAGTACAGCTCCATCTCCCCTCCTGCTTCACCTGTGGCCCAGGATGAACCCTTCTCCACATACTTTGAAGAGAGGGTGCCCATTCCAGACAGTGAAAACCAGGTACCACTGCCATCACAAATAGTGTGTTTCATTTAGACACACAGGAAAAATATTTTATTTGTAAGTATATGTTTTGCATATTATTTGATTTAAAAGGAAAATTCTGTTTCTGTTCAGTTGTTCAGTTTCCGTAAGCTCTGGGCTTTCACTGGACCGGGGTTTTTGATGAGCATTGCTTATCTGGATCCGGGGAACATCGAATCAGACCTGCAGTCTGGAGCTGCAGCTGGCTTTAAGGTGAATGAAAACGTTAATCCACCAAGAAAAATAAACTGTGGGTGTAGTTTTGCAGGCAGCGGAGGTAGATTTAGGAAAATAACAACTATACTTCGAATGTTTCAGGCTTCAATCCTTTCACTTTATATTTCAGGAAGTAATTCTGTCTTCAGATACTTTCAGATACTTTTTCTTTTAAAAATATTACTGCCTTTTTTCTTCTTCTTTTTTTTTTTTTAAGAAACCAGGGTCATATTTTGTCTCTAGCTCAGTACTTCACTTGTATAATAAGCTGCATGATTGCTCTGTTGTCTGCATCTATGATAACTCCCTTTTATTAATAAATAAATAAATATGCTGTGTTGCAGATAAAATGCTAATTTGAAATCTTAGTTTTAACTCTTTACCCCTTGAAAACTGATTAGAAGTAACTCTCGAGGCTTTTTTAAATCTGATCTGAAGGGTTTATGTCATATTTCAGGCCTGCTTATAAAACAAAATGACTGGGTTTGCATCAGACGTGAGGGAGGGTGATCTCTGCCCTTGCAGCTAAATCTTTGTTCATTATTTATTGAAGTGTTCAATCTCGTCATTAAGGGTACAGGGGAGGTTGTCAAAGGTCATTTTTATGTTGGAAAGTCTTAATGCATCTCACTGTATTGAGCGAACATGAACTCATACAAGAAATCTAGGGGTCTGTGCAGATGTGGCCACATGTGCTGATTTCGTGCTTCTTCTTCTTCAGCTCCTATGGGTTCTCCTTGTATCCACTATCATCGGGCTGCTGTTGCAGAGGCTGGCTGCTCGCCTCGGGGTGGTCACAGGGATGCACCTGGCTGAAGTCTGCAACCGCCAGTATTCCACCGTGAGCACCCCCCTCCACCCTCAAGACACATCTGAGTCACATCTTTCTTGTCTTTCATTATTTATAATACATTCTATTTAATTTCAGGTTCCTCGAATCATCCTCTGGCTGATGGTGGAACTGGCCATTATTGGCTCAGACATGCAGGAGGTCATTGGCTGTGCCATAGCTCTCAACCTCCTTTCTGTGGGCAGGTAACGTCTTTGACACTTGTATTGGAAAAGTTTATATGATTTTGCAGATTTACAAAATAGGATTCTTTCTCGCTCAGGATCCCACTGTGGGGAGGAGTTCTCATCACCATCACAGACACATTCGTGTTCCTCTTTTTAGACAAATATGGTATGTGATTTGTTGATGCAGATATGCAACTGATGCAACCAGATTGGAACCCAAGTGATTACATATGTTTATATCTCTGCAGGACTGAGGAAACTTGAAGCTTTCTTTGGCTTTCTGATCACTATAATGGCTCTTAGTTTTGGTTATGAGGTACGTTTTGGTCACCTGAAGCATTTGTCACCCAGTGTGTGGCTGCATCACAGGGTTGATTCTGTGTTTTCTCCCTGTAGTATGTGCTGGTAAAACCGGACCAGGGGGAGTTGCTGAAGGGTATGTTTGTACCCTACTGTGCCGGCTGTGGGCCTGTGCAGCTGGAGCAGGCAGTGGGAATTGTAGGTGCTGTCATCATGCCCCACAACATCTACTTGCATTCAGCCTTGGTCAAGGTTAGAAACATCAATGTACTGTTGTGTGTAGACTAAGAGAAATTAGATTTTCCTAAATGAATGTGAAAACTGTTTCATGAATAACCTTATGAGTGGGGAAAAAAAACATTTTAAAGTAACGTTTTTAAGCTTATTGTTTTTTATCTCCCCTCCTTATTCAGTCTCGGGAAGTCGACCGCAAAAATAAAAAGGAAGTCAAGGAAGCCAACAAGTACTTCTTCATTGAGTCGGCTATCGCCCTCTTTGTCTCCTTCCTCATCAATGTGTTTGTCGTCGCAGTCTTTGCTCAGGCCTTCTACAGTAAATCCAACATGGACGTGGTGAGTGTCCATGGCGCCATACTGAGGACTGTTGAAAGCGTGTGTGGGTCATTTTGAGATACAGTAAATTATAAGTGAAACAGTGGTGATCAAGTTGTTGCTGACTGTGTTCCTGCAGAATGCAATGTGCAATAAAACTGGCAGCCCTCACACAGATCTCTTCCCTCTTAACAACAACACACTCGAAGTGGACATTTACAAAGGGGTAAGTCCACAGTCTGTAAGTCTCTGCAGTTCTGATGAGCAGGTTGCATAATGTCTCATTTTGGAGCTACTAAAATAATACAGAATAACATCAGAGAGTAGAAAGGGAAGGAGCATCTAGCAGTTTATGGCTTGATTATCTAATTTTTTTTAATTAAAAAAAAAACAAATGTTTTCCCCTTGTGTGACATTAAGACAGTGTAAACATATCATAGAGGTATTTTCACAAAATAGCTCCTTGGGTGTTTAGGTGTGTTTCTAGAGTTGAATCAAAGTGTTTTTACTCTTTACTTTCCTATTAATAATATCTAAAAAGGCTAATTTACACATTGTGTGAGTACCAATTTATTTTACCATTCATCACTTTGAAATGGCTGTTTGTCCTAGATTAGACTTTACCCAGATGAACAGGTGTGTTGACACTTAACTCTGTGTGATACATGTGTTCAGGGGATCGTCCTGGGGTGTTTCTTTGGACCAGCAGCTCTCTACATCTGGGCTATCGGTATTCTGGCAGCTGGACAGAGCTCCACCATGACGGGCACGTACTCTGGACAGTTTGTGATGGAGGTAGGAACACATGTTGGCACAGTGTATTTTATTTATGTACCATTTTCCTCTGTTTAAAAAAGGAAACAGCTCTGCACTGATGTTTCTGCTTTCGTGTTTTTAAGGGTTTCCTGAACCTGCGGTGGTCTCGTTTTGCACGGGTGCTGCTGACCCGCTCCATCGCCATCACGCCTACACTGCTGGTCGCCATTTTCCAGGATGTTCACCATTTGACTGGGATGAATGACTTTCTGAATGTGCTGCAGAGCCTGCAGGTCAGCACGAGTATCTTCCCCTCAGTGCAGTTTGTACTGAAACATTTTTGATGTTCTTTTTGTGTTCTTGTTAAAAATATTCACTCTTCTCATCCTTCAGCTTCCATTTGCTTTGATCCCAATTCTGACCTTCACAAGTCTGAAATCCATAATGAACGACTTTGCTAACGGATTGTAAGTGAAATAAATGTTTTAATAGTTTTTATTCTCTTCTTTATTAAGTACAAACTGTATGCATTTTACTCATAACTGACAGGATAATTATCTCAAGAAGCAAGCTTTTCTTGGCCCTTCATGTAGTTGAAGTCTGTGTACGATCAATGAATTTAACACAAATGAAAACATTAGCAGCACAGTCCAAAGCATCTCTTCCCGTAGCCTCGGAGTTTAGGGAAATAATGATGGACTGAGGCCAAGGAACAACTGATTTAGCGAAGTCCAGTGTTTGACCCTGTTTGGTCTTTATCCAAATATAAAACCAAGCAACACAAAGTCCGGACCCCCAACTGTATTCTCTGGATGTTTTACTCAGGTCAGCATAAAAGGACTGGACTGACTCAGGTGTAGACGTGGTGTCATGTGACATACAGTCGACTCTGCTCAGAGTTGTCATTGTGACTGTTTACTTATCTAATGCACAGACGGGTCATTTATTAAATCAACCATATATTTATATTTAAGCTGTCTAAAATGGAGTTGCGCAAAATAGGAATTTATGCAGCAGTGTGACTAACTAACAGAAGTGAGTCTGTGTGTTTCTGGAAAAAAATGTGTTTCTGGTAAATTTGCAGTGTTAGGAAGTATTTTGAGGACTCTGTTAGTTTAGAAAGCACAGGATTTCCCAATTGTCTAATCCAAAGTCTGTTTCCTCTAGGGGGTGGAAGATTTCGGGAGGTATCCTCATCCTGGGCGTTTGTGCAATCAACATATATTTTGTGATTGTTTATGTGACGGCGCTGAACAGCGTGGTGCTCTATGTTTTAGCTGCTCTCCTCTCTGTAGCCTATCTGGCCTTTGTGGCATACCTGGTGAGTTATGATTGCTGTTTCATGTCTAAATTGTTGTCTGTTGATGCCTGTAGTCTAATCTCATGTTGATAGGACTGCAGAGCATGTTTTCACACATCTTATTTTCTAATAACCAGAATTAGTCCTGGGTGGTATAACCAAAAGTCTGTCCATCCATCTATTTTCTGCCATTGATCTGGGTTCTGTTCATGGGAACCCAGATCGCCAGACCTCTCTCTCTCCAGCTCCTCTGAGTGAGACCGAGGTGTTTCAAAGCCAGCTGAGAGAAGTAATCTCTCCACTATGTCTCGGGTCTGCCCCATAATCTCGTCCCACATGCCCGGAAAGCATTACCCAGGAGGTATCCCCGTGAGATGTCCAAGCCCCCTTCAATTGGCTTCTTTTGATGGGTGCCACAATCATTTCTTAAAAGATTTCTGCCTTTTTCATTTTATATTACAGAATTATCTTAAATTTTATGCATTTCTTTTATTTTTAGTTTTTACTGGTGTTTTGGTTTTTTTTTTAGTAGGTGTACAGTGACATGCTTCTATTGGGATGATAGATCAGAAAACATTTGAATGTCATCAGAAAAATAAAGTAAAGAATGGTAAAAAAAAAAAATAAAATCTATTTTAAAACACCGTGTGTGCCCACAGCACAGAAGCAACATGACAAGAAATGAAGCAAGATGAGTCTAAACTTCATAAAACCCTAAATTCCAAAAGTTGAGATCACAGTTGTTATACTGGCAAATACAATATTACACTAAATCTTTCTGGCTGTGTATTGGTGGCTGGAAAAAGCAAGATAACCCACCCAGCAGTAATCAGAACATATCGGTAGCAAATGAATAATTTTTTTTTCTAAAATTTGAATGCTTCACTTTCTATACATTGAAAAGGTGCACACACACAAAGTCTGTAATGTCCTCTCGCTTCTTCCTCCTTGCAGGCTTGGCACTGTCTGGTTGCCCTGGGCGTCTCCTGCCTGGACTGTTGTAGCAGGGTAAGCAATCGACCCGCTGTGCTCATAGAGGAGCAGTCAGAGTACGACTCCTAAAGCTGAACACGACTGTAACCAACAGCATGTCTCTTTACTCTGGGCGCCCCGTACACAGCCGGGACTCTTTAGGATCTTGAAAGCACGTTTGACTTTTATTTTTTAAAGGGCTGGATATCTTGTTTTTTTTAAGATATCTGTCTGGGAGCCTTTTTTTAGGCTCTCAGACATTCATATGACACCAGCACAGGATGTTATCTTCCAGCATTTGATGCTTCAGCCAAGTAGAAATGTGATGATTTTTAAACTCTAATTTAACCTATGATTTGTCCTGCTCTTAATCACCCTAATCCTCCCAGTGTGAAGCCACACTGCACATTTTATGATTCCCACTCAGTCTACCTGAATATCCTTTATTTTATTTTTTTAATCTCAGAGTCAGCTCTCTTCAAGTGTGACTCATTAGCTTAAAAAACAAGTCTAATACTGCTAGATAATGTCTAAAAATAATATTATGACACATGAGAGTCAAATGTCCAATAGATATCCAGCCCTTATATTACAGGGTTTTTTTTTGTTTTCAGCATTCTTGTCTAGCATATCGAAGAATTTACAGTGGCATTTTTGAGCATCATGCACATCTTTCACTTGTTGCTTCTTGTGTTTGGAGTCCTAGCTTAGAGTGGACGTGTAGTTAATGCACAAGTCTGTAAAAATACATTTTAAATCAGAGCCAGAAAACAGAAAAACTGACTTGAATGGAGGAAAGTCTGAAAGTCACCTTATCATTTCCAAAATTGGTGTGTGTCTGGCCCCTGAAAGCTGTTTTAATAATGTTTTTAATGCACAAATGATCCATGAAATTAATTCTTGAGAGCACATTAGTGACACAGGCAAGCAGGTGAAGCTTTGTGTGACTGCAGCATCATCCCCCGAGCCTCTGTTAGCGCCTCTGTAGTTTATGATGCCAGAGACTCAGGTTGAAGTGAGCCCGTCAGTGAAATCATACTTGTGTTTTTAGCAGTGTGCAGGAGCGTCCTTTGCTTTCAAGCCTTTATTGCATGTGCAAAAATAATGATTTTGTGCATTCTTTTTATTTTTGTTTGTTTTCTGCGATACCAAGTTAACCTCAATACTATATTTGTTTTGTTTTTTTTTTTTACTTCAGGTATACAATAGTAAGATGTGTATAACTGATGGGGAAGGTGGATTTATGTGCATGTGCTCTAGTACAACACTGTAATCATTTAAAGTTGTTAGGACTGTGTTTGAGTAGCAGCCATGACAAAGGATGTTGTGTTTATGTATTAAAATCCATAACCACAAGTTTGTGTGTGCGGTACAGTGTGTAGAGCACACAAGTTTAGAAATCTCACAGCTCATATTAAAATGCAGATTCACTCATGTGTATACATTATACAGTTTCCCAAGCTAATGACTCCACTCTGAGACCTCCTAATGTTTTACTGTGAAGTTAAGTAGTCACATGATAGCGTGATTATCAAGTGGGGAATAAAATAGTTTGTTTTTGTTGCCTTATTTATTTTCTGTCCTGGCTTTGTTAGTCAGACCAGTTTGCAGGACAGTTGTATACCCTGTTTTTATAGAAAAACAACAGACACATTTTTTAATAAAGCAATAAAAGATTATTCATGTGAGGAAAGGTGGATTTAATTTTTTTTTATAATTGTTTATGTTTCGGCTGTCACCATTTGTCAGTTCAGTTTCAGCTGTGACTGATGTTAGCCTTCACACAGCCCTCACTCAGCTGCTCTTTGTCCCGGTAGCATGCTCAATATCAGTAAAGTGACGATGATTAGACTGTGAATGAGTTTTAGCAGCCAACACTGACAAGCCTCTTCTTCCAGTTTTACAACAAAGAAGATTAAAATTGCTGTGACATTGCACAATATAATAAACTGTATTAAAGCTCCTGACTTGGCAATATCCAAGTAGCATGTACATACTGACCAATAAGATGAGAGTACGATGAGCTGTGTGGGGCACTGTAAACACAGTAAAGGCCTCGAGTTTTTTTCAGATGTTTTTGTGTTAAAATTCTCTCTCTGGCGTGGTGGTTCAATATTTCTGCTCTTGTATAAAGTTCTCAAAAGCTTTTCTAAGATTTCTAAAGCTGTTCTTAGACGTGATAGAAATATATGTTTCAGGTGAACGTGAGTTTGTCTTATATAAATAACTTCTCTGGCAATAAAACAAACATGACAGACGAACATTTGAACTGTTACAGAGAAAACTGTGTCTACTCTCAAATTATATCATGTGGTTCTCTGGTCATTTCTGTTTTCTTCCCTCTTTTGGAGGTTGAATGAAAAGCTGTTATTTTTCTGCTGCTGGATGAAGCCGCTGTGTCTCCGAAATAAATTCACATTATGGATATAAGGACATTTGTTTGCGTCTTCTGTGTGAAAGTCCTAACATGGACTCAGGATTACTGTGTTTTTAACTTTTAAGTAGCTGAGTAAATGATAATCTTAAAGCCCATCTTTGTTTTTTAAAAGATAACTCTCCTCACTGTAAAACCCCAAACAGTAGAGTAAAGGTGTTAAACTGATGTGTTTAGAATAGTTAGCTAAATTACAAAAATCTTCATTTCTCCTTACTGGTGCTGTTTGAGGGTGTAGCACCTCCTAGTAGGCTATAGAAATGTTCTTTTTCAGGACTTTCCAGGATTAAATGAGGAAAGTCTGACCCAAGGTGAGCACATTTTAATGAATCTGCAGTCATAAAACAATCAATATCAAATCCTGAACTGATTTAACTCTATTAATCACCAATTACAGTGCATTGTTGATTGCAATGATTTAGTTTAAAACTCTGACATTTCATCCTGTTTGTAAGTAAAGAACCAACACCTGGCAATCCATATTCTCCAGATTTATGGTCGAACTAAAAAAGAGTGAATAATACGTATGTAGAGTAACATAAAAAGGATTTGGTAACACAGATGGTTTCCCGAGTCATCAGAAGAAGAGTGTGTGTGTGTGTGCGCGCGCGCTTAGTTTACTATATTTTTATTTAAGCCGATGCTGACTCTCCACTGATTTCTCTAAATGTTAACATATTTTAAGAGCTTACATTTTCTATGAAAACCAAAACAAGTTCTGGCAAAATCAAATAAAAATGCTTAACAATTAAATCATGCTCAGCTGATTTGTCTTCAGTGTGTGACTGTTCCTCTGAGTAATGAGAGCTCCATGTCCTCTTCTCTTCCAGATGCAGCTGGGTGTGTCGCGTCACACAGACATGTACTTACTGAACGATATGGACTCTAATGCATTGGTGGACAGATGAAGGACACTCAGAGCAGGTGCTTGACTGTGGTGTAGACACCGTTAGATGACCCGACTGAAGCGTGGGACCACTGAAACTCGGCTAGTATGTGTTAGTCTTCACCCCCTCGGTGCCTGAGGTGTTTTTAAAGTGTCCTTACAGAACGCCCACGGATGATCGTGACGTTTTCATTCACAAATATCTCCGGCAGCTTCGGCTCTTGCAGAAGAATAATATTTAAGAAAGCAGTGTTTATTAGAAGATGTGTTTAAACAGTTGCTGTGGCTGTAACTATATAAGGTTAGACGCTACAGCCATGAAGCAGACAAAATAAACTGACAGCGCGTGATGTTGAATTGCCCGAGTCGTAATTCAGAGAAATAGTGCGCTCGAGGCTGCACGCTATTCCACATGAAGGTGCTCGTGGTTTTTGTTTTAATTACCCGTTTAACTTGTTCCTGTTTTGCCTCACATGATCTTAAAAAGAGATTTCATTGGATCTTTTAGATATCCTCACATAGTCACAACAAGAAGGCAGAAAACCAATCACACTCGAGCGCTGTAGGGTTAATTTATATGATGTTAAAGTCAAAAGCTGCTGCATTATGGGTTTTTTATTTGTTCAAGACAAAGAGATTCCTGTTACTCTATTTAACGCTGCAATAATGAGATTCAGTTAGATGTTAATATTAGACCAATAAATTGATAGAATATATTGAATATGTACATAACCCTTGTTGATCTTATTTATGTGTCATTAGTCAACATTTTTCCCCATGTTTAAGTCTCTTTTAATATATTGCATATAAAAGAGGTGACAGTTTTATGTCACTCTCATTCGACAGCTGCTTCGTCGTTGAGATGAATCCCTCCAAACTTTCTTTTTTAAATTAATTTATTTTTTTAAGTATTAAGTATTCAAGATCTCCTTACTGCAGTGGGATTTAATAAGTGTCCAAAAATATTTTTTTTAAAAAGATGCAGACTTTAAATTAAATATTAATGTGTCCAGTTTTAGCACATTTACATTCCCATTAAATGCATCTATGAATTTTCTGTCATAGCAGTGGTTCAATATGACTGATCAGTGCAGAGATCAGAGTCCAGTCAGCTCAGTGTTTCTCTTTTGTTAATTAATTTTTGTGTTATTCATTCTTCCCTTTTATTGTTCTTAGTTTTTCTTCAAAGTTAATCTTATGGTCAGTTTATTCCAGTATTTTATTTATGCTATTTGTTTTAAATGCTGTTTTTTAGCTTTGGCTTTTGAGAGTGTTAGAGCTGCCTCTTTTTTCTTTTTTTTTGATTATGCCAAATGTGTGCAGAGGTGTGATGTTCACTGTGTTATCTACAGAGAAACAAAGCGATTGTTTAATTCTGAAATCTTACTGGGAGAGTAAAATTGGCAGCTGAGGGGAGCCGGTGGAAAATGGTGTAGCTCCAAGCCATCGACTCTGGTATTTCTTGTTGCTGAAAGCTGGTTTTCAAGTCCTGGTGGAGTTTGTTTCCAATATCAGAGAAGACAGTGCCTAACATCAGAGAGCTTATATGAGAAATTGTGATCAACTGTGAAACACAGATGCTTGTTCGTTTGCTCCACAACAGTGAAGATGTAGTATAGAGAAAGCACTGGTCAAGACAACGGGGAACTGGAGAAAATAATAAAATGAAACTATAAGCAAATCTGAAATAGGACACTTGAGAAGCAGTTTAATGAACCGAACCTTTCCACTGACCAAATATGAACTGTAGGTTATATTTACTGTGCAGATGACCACAGTGCCTCATGTTTTTACCACTGTGCCTCATTTAGGGCATCCTGAGCACAAAAAGAACAAATCAGCACTTGATTGCAAAAGAAGCGTATAATTGAAAGAATGGAAATTACACTTTAAGCTGTTTGTTTGAGGGTTTATTTAATTTGGAGGACCATTAATGGGTTAAATACTAGAAACGTGTGTGGTCTTTTATGCAAATGTCACTGAACATATCTCCATGTTGAGTTGTATTTGTTAGAATAAGATGTACGTCTCTCTATGCCACCTTGGCAGTGGTACAAGGTTTTCTCTGATTGGTGCATCACGTTTCACGTTGTAAACATGATTTGAATTCAGAAACACCTGCCGAAGACCATTTTTAGGTTTCATGTCTAGACAGAAAACTGATGCTGTATTATATTGTGATTTTTTTCTGGAACTCTAAAACTGTTAAGTGTGGCACAGTATTGGAACGTCTATCTAAAGGGCCACAGTTTAAATGACCTGCTGTCTGTATGTTTTTTGTTTTTGTTTGTTAGTTTGAATGGTGCTCTTGGTAAATAAAAATAGACTTTATTTCAGTTTCTGTCTTTCCTTTGTTAAATTCATACTTGGATGTTGAATGTTGAACAACTTCTTACTCTTTATCCCTCATAACGTTTTCTCTGTATCGTTCTTCCTGGTGTTGGACTTTTTTTTAGCATCTAAGTAACAAATATGAAATTAGTTCATGTTGACAGTCACAGAATGTAAATGTGACCATCAATAAGAGCATTCAGAGATATTGCGAAATTGAAAGATTTAATAATCACCTAGGAAAGGAAGAGAAAGTTATTAGATTTGTGAACGTGTTTCCAGTATGTTCCGAGAGTAACTTATAACTTATTATAAGTAAAAATTAAGTGTTTATTGATTTTTATTTTATTTTTAAATCTTTTACATAGTTTGCTGTCTGACAAGAAAAAAAAAACTAACATTAGTATCAGTTGCTCATTATTCTGGTGGTCTGCATTTGGTTTTATAGGAAAAGAGTAGGAAGAAAAAACAAATAAAATCAGTGCTTTTGTTCAGTCTTACTGTCCAACACCACCAGCCAGTTGTTTAAGGACAAATTTAATGTGTGAGAAAAAGAAGTGCAAGTCTCAGTTTTTTTTGCATGATAAAGAAATGTTGCTGCATTACATAAATAAAAATGTACCAGCATGAATAAATTAATGTTTAATATTACAGATTATTAAAATTAAATAAAAATCTATCGTTAAGTGATGACGTAATTTCCGTTTCCGGATCCAAACACCCGTGTTCAACATGCCGCAGTGCTGTGTTCCTTTTTGTTTTAACTATTCTGGATCAAAAAAAAACACGAATTTGTCATTTCACCGCTTTCCTTGTGACGAGAAAGAGAAGCAGAAGTGGCTGCACGCGATAAGGTACGTTACAATTCCAAAGTGAATAAATAAACTTGTAAGAAGAACGCAAGTGTGGTCTTACTTTAGTTAGCTAATATAGCTAGCGTTGAACAACTAAAACCCGCTAATAAAAAAAACATCCTACTTTGGCAAACCGTCCTACCGTACATAGTTTATGAACATTTCTGCTCTCACACAATAATTCCAGCAATTATGCAATTAATTTTACCCGTCAAATTATACTTCTAGCTCATATTCACAAACAGGACTGTTTGCTACTTAATTTTGTGTTGTGCGCATGCGCAGAAACAACCGGTAGGACGGATTCCCAGAACATCCTGGCTTCTACGAATTTTACATAGGCTATGGATTTTATCATGTTTTCTTATTACGAAGATATCAACGCGGTTTGGATGTCATTTTTATTTCTCTAAGCAAAGATCGAAAGCTATGGGTCAATTTGCCATAACTACACAGCTTTCTACTCTTGGAGGATTAAAAATGACACATGAAAAGCGATCATGTCTTCATAGTAAGAACACCCACTAAAATCCATAGCCTATGTGAGAGTTAATGACCAAAACAGAGACTTAACTA